GTCATGTTGGATCCTTATTACCAATTTTACTTTTTTGTTTGACATACTTTGAATAAGAAAATTTAAAACCGTTTGTTGATTGTTTTGTATATTTATGTGGGTTTCAGGCAACCATTGCTGCGAATTGCTTGCTTGGAAAGCCTGCAATGATAATCGTGACATACCAGAAGATGTAGATATACCATTGTATATCAAACCTTCAACTTGATCACTTCATGACGGTTGTAACAACTATAAACGCAAGACGGGTCAAAGCAGAGATTATATGCACACTCATCATGAAGTATGCAGAGAACTGGTTGCCACTAATTGAAGATGATTTGGAAATAATACGAGGTTGCAGCCTTACAGGTCAGGAAACATTGATTTGCAGTTCAGTGTTGAACGAGAGAGAACGGAGGAAAGAAGTTTAGGATGTTAAGAACAAAAGTGAATCATAGAAAGCTTAGTAAGTGTGCTTCATGCACAACCTGGAACTGTACTTACCATGCCAGTTTTTGTTGAGGTTACTGATTCTACTTTATAGATATAGAAATGATCACTTTTTAATGCAAACAATGAATGTAAAGCTATGGTTACTGCAGGTAGGCTCGCATATTTTGATGGTGACTACCAGCCAAGTGCAGCAGAGGATCTTATACACCAAATAAGTCAATAAGAAGATGGCACAAAGAGAAAGAAGAAAATAATGATCAAGAAAACAATTACCAAAAAGACTCTAAAAGCTTCTGAACAGACTGATGTATCTGGGAATGCTTCCAAGGTTCTGCTGCTAATGCATAAAGAAATCTTTACTTTCTATAAAATAACTTACTATCATTTTTGTTCGTTTGTTTTCTTTTTGTGACTTTGTTTCCAGCTAGGTGAGACAACTGAAAAATTTATTGCTGTCCACTTGCAAACTTCTTGCACATATTGCTGTACAATGATGGTATCTTGAATCGTTGGGTATGCAGTCGGTGCAAATACTGTCAGATTTGTGATAAGTGGGAGCTCCTCCTTTCTCTGTTTCTCTTTAATTTTGATAATTCTTTTTGTTGTTGTATTGTACATGAGAAGATTACAGATTAAAAAAATGTTATCCTCCCTTTCAGATGTTATGAAGCTAAGCAGAGGCGTGAAGACATAAAGACATCCTGTTAATTTCAATGATACACATACATTTGAACCGACGTCCAAATATATAGAATAAACTAGTGATATGTCAGCGCTACGCGCGCTGGTTATTTGACGTTTGTGTTATTCAACTTTGTACTTTCTTTTTGTTGATTTGTTATATAAATTGAAATGCTTGTTAATATCTTTGTTATCAGTGTTTATGTAATCGTATTATAATAATGTGATGCTATAGTTTCGTGGAAGTTAAAGAAACTTTTATGTTTGACACATGTTTAGTTTGTAGTTAACTTATTGTATATAACTATTTACGGTATAACCGGTGATCAAAGAGTGAAAGGAAACAATGCGCGTTTTATTATTTTTAAAGTATTGTACTATTTGTAAGGAATTTTTCTTTTCTTTTTGTTACATCGTATTCTTTTTATTATAGAGTATTATAGAAAAAAATGTTCCCCTCTAAATTTGATAAATAATAATAATTGGTTCATTAATCCTATAATTTTATTCCTTCTGATTTTTCCATATTTATTTTTAATATTTTTATAATGGTTACTAGTTGAAACCTGTAGAGTGTAAATGCACACAGTGCAAAAATATATGTTGGAAAAAGAGGACATAGACAAATTATTATCATAGATGAGTGATAATAATTTTTTATTCATAGCGAACATAATCCACCAATATGTTTTATTGGCGTAGTACATAATAGTCACTACATTTTGAATTACACTAAAAACTTTATAAATTAACAATATTGAGAATATAATATTTTATTAATTTATAGAATTATTAATTTACAAAAAATTTAAGAATTCTTTATTTTTAGAATATATATTTTACAAAATAAGAAAATAAACGATTTAACCGTATCTATTAATTAAATTTATAATTTTCATTTTCTGTTTTCTTATATTATTTGGTGTATATGAAAAATGTTCCACAGAATGTTTGTGTGGTTTTAGATATTTTACTAAATATCAAAATATATTGAAGTGTTAAAAAAAAATAGAGATGAAATATAATTGTGAATATTAAATATGTAATACATTGATTTGTTTGTATTTATATAATCCTTATATATTATTAATTTATAATTTTAATGAAAATATATATCTACATTAAAAAGTATTATCTTATCAATTTGTATCATATTTTAAAACTTTTCTAATTCAAAAACGAAGAAATTTATTAATTTAGTGTGCTTATTAATTTATCGAATGTTAATTTAGAAATTTTCTACTCTATAATCTTAAGATATAAAAATGATTGAACTCTCATCAAATGAAGTAGATGAACTTAGACATTGGCTTATAGAAATAGCATTAGTCCCATCTCTTGTTAATGTTGTTTGGAAGGCAGAATATTGTGTAACCTTTGTTGCTTGCATAGTGGTAAAGTAACACTCAAGATTTTTTATTGTACTCTGTTGAAACTTGTGATGGGGTTGGTTGGTGGAAAATGTTCAATTAAAACTTTAATGATTTAAAAAGTAATGAATATTGCAGTTCTTAGGGAGTAAAGCCTAAAGTTATCTTACATAGTTGTTTTTTTGTAGATTGTACAATAAGACGTAAAATATGCCATTGGTTTACATAATAAAATAGTAAGGTTGTCACTTTCTACACAACCAGAAAAAGAAGGAGATAATTTAACTCAACCCAGTGTAAATCCAAAATACATTTATTTACTGACAATTTAAATCTAAAACCCTCATTTTATGTACAAATTTTTTGTAAAAAAATAAACAAATTATATAAACATGAACCACTGCTTTGCTTAGTTTTTTTTTTTTTTTGTTGAAAAATAGCTTTGCTTAGTTAGACTGTACATATAGATCTTTGTTCATAAAATTGTCCCCTCTTTCTCTGGTGGTGTTATAACCTTGACCTTTACTTACTAAGATGGCTAAGGAGTAGCATTCTCCGTTATAGATGACGAGAGCCCTCTCCCTGCAGGAAAAAAAAAACAAATGATGCATATTCATGATCATGACTTGTGACTTTGTTTCGGCGGAGTTTTATACAGAGACAGAAGAAATGCTTACCTCCGGTGGTGATAAGTTTCTCAACCCGGGAGACGATGCATGTGTTTCCCATATGTGCATTCAAGTGGACTTTGATGTGAAAGATAATGAGTGCAAGACTTTTGATCATCACATGTTTCAAGAACCTTTTGCACTATTCCCAAATGGATCCTTCATCATCGCCTGCAAATTGTTCCTGCAATATTAGTGGGGAGACTTCTAAAACAGTGCAAAAGGGTGCAACGATTTATAGTAGTTGCAGAACTTGAGGAGGTTCATTTTCGTCAGAACAACCAAGCATATCATTCCCTAGGACCTGACGTTCCTCTAGACCCCCAATGGTAAACACTTTCCAACAACATTCGAAGCAAACTTCTGTTGATTCATTATCACAATCTGTCGAGCAAGCTTATTGATAATTTAGGACAGTTTCTGTGGTTACCGTGTTGAATGATGTGCTACAGACGGAAGAAGGTTAATCATTATCAGGCTTTCTACTTTCATGCACCAACAATGTCAATCACTGAATGCATGATTTCCTGCATAATGATCAGCATAACTTACCCTCTGATGTGATTCCAATAAAGTACATGTTAAGTACTGTTCATATCAGAGACACATCAAGTAAATAATTATTTTATTTAAATATTATACCCTTATTTTTATTTAAAATTTTAGTTTGACTACATAATATTAGAAACAATGATAACATTTATATGAAGATATATTATAATGTAAATCAAAAATATATAAATCAAAACAATACATATTAAACCTACAATGATCCTTTTTAAAAAAGTAAAATATTATTTTTAAAATTATGATATTGTGATCTAATATGAGTTAGTTGGTAGAATTTTAAGTATTTTGTTTACAAATTTTCTTAAAATTGCTAATCTAGCTATTAAATATGAATAAAATAAATTATCAAATTAAGCTTTCGCTTTATTTCACAAATTTAAGACTGAAATCTAAACATATACACATGTAATAAAATTATCTGGTTACATTTTTTATAAATTAATTTATATTATAGTTAATATTTATATTAATAAAATAATATAAATAGAATAGTGACTATAATTTTGCATAAAATTTCAAAACTTAACTTTAAAGACTGATTAAAATATCTAACATACATAAATCAGCTGAAAAACATAAAATAACAAAAAAATACATTATTCCTGTTTAATTATCAAAATCAATTTTTGGTTTCAATAAAATCTGTTTTATAATATCTGAAGATATATGATATATAATTTAAAAAATTAGCAAGTCATACTTTAAATTAATTGGAATAAACAAACAATAATTATAGAAATATTTAGTTAACTGTTTAAAAATAAAAAAAGCATATATTTTTTGCAAAATAAATACAATCTCAAACAAAAAATAATAATTTTATTAATAAAATAATAATTTTAAATTTTAAAATACACTAACCGTGCGAGGCGCGGTGAAAGATCTAGTTATTTATAATTAGAATATCACAATTTTTGATACAGTTCTCAAATAACTAAAAATTACAAAATAGCTAAACATAAACTAATTAATTCGATTTGGATTAATTTTATTTTATAACATTTGATTTGGTTATTAGAAAACACACAGAAAATAACAAAAAAGAAAGTCAACAAAAGTCCATGGATTGACCGTAACTAACTAAACGAGTAGGCGGTGAAAAAAATAGGTGACTAGAGGTCCAGGCAAGTCTGGGTTGTGCGTATCGTGTCTCACGTCGATTTTATTTTATTTTCACCTTTTTTTCTAACCACGTGCAAGAGACTTACCGTAAACAGACCAACGAAACCATTCATTAAAACCCTAGCGAACTCCTTCCTTCCTTCTTACTTATACCCCTCTCTCTCTCTCATCGCCCTCGTCGGTCATCTTCTTCGTCTCTTCGAATTACCGGAAAATTCGAATCTGTTACTGAATTCTCCGGATGGATCCGTCTAACCTCGCAGTAATCATTGCTGCGGCTGCTTGCAGTCCCAATCCGGAAGAGCGTAAAGCAGCTGAGCAGAGCCTCGATCAGGTTATTGTTTCTTCTTACCTCGATTCCATAATTTGGTAGAGAAGAACTGCAATTGACTTTGATTAGACTGTGGTCAACAATTGTCTCTAGGAAGATAGAATTAAAGTTGACTTTGATTTTTGCAGATAAAGCACAGTCCGCAGCATTTGATAAGAGTTTTGCAAATTGTTGTTGATGGTGGATGTGACCCTGCTGTACGCCAAGCTGCGAGCATCCATTTCAAGAACTTCATCGCTAAGCATTGGGATCCTCATTCTGGTAATTTAAATGTTTTGGAGGATTTTGAAGAAAAAAAAAGGAGACTTGTGTTATTCATTCCATTGTTTTTTTTCTGTTATGCAGGTGATCAGAGCAAGATCTTGCCAAGTGATAAGAATGTTGTCAGGGACCAGATTCTTGTATATGTCTCTCAGCTTCCACCTATTTTGAGGTAGCTCTTCGTTAAGACAATGTCTTTTTCTTCGTTATGTAGAGCGCTATGGCTCGATTTTACTTGTGTATATACATATATAATAAAGGTTACCTCTTTTTTGTTGGTTCTTATTTTTAGCTTGTTATCGGTGTGTATTTGTGATGCAGAGTCCAAATGGGAGAGTGCTTGAAGACAATAATTTACGCTGACTATCCTGAGCAGTGGCCCCATCTCCTCGACTGGGTGAAGCATAACTTGCAAGATCAACAAGTTTATGGTGCCTTGTTTGTGTTGCGCATTATGTCTTCTAAATACGAGTTAGTTTTCTTTACTTGTCTTATCTGGTGGTCCTGAAACGACCATGTCCTTAGGAATTGCTATAGTTTTTCTAACTTAATCCGAGATTCTTTACTCATTGAGGCTATTTACCTCCGTTCTGGCGGCTTCTTTGCACGAGTGATTTCTAGAGTGTCTCTAGCTAGTCGTCTTATTTCTGTACCGTCTCTTGCTTATTTTCCCAACTTTTCATCCTTGGACTTACAAAGTGTGGCGTAATTTTTAGTAATTGACTATTAGAAAAGAATGCGCATTTAGGCTTGTTGGGAGGGGCATATTTCTGTGAGTTGAGATTATAAGTTCTCGTATTCAAAGTCAGGGCAGTAGCTTCTGTTTTCCTAGATAACATAATTCATTAGTATTTTTCCTCTCATATTCCTACTTTCTGTTTATAGGTTCAAGTCAGATGAAGACAGAACACCCATTTACAGAGTAGTCGAAGAGACGTTTCCACATCTTTTGCATATATTCGACAAGCTCGTTCAAATTGAAAATCCTTCTCTTGAAGTTGCAGACCATATCAAGCTTATATGCAAGATATTCTGGTCATGCATTTATGTAAGTTGTACATCTTGTGTTACTTATTCTGAACCGTTTTTCATTGCTTCCAGGCTCCAAATTAAAAAAAATTCTGGATTATATAGTTCTTGTTTAGTGACTTATATATCTCTTTCACCCTTTCTCTGTACAGCTAGAGCTTCCGAGACCATTGTTTGAACCAAACTTTTTTAATGCTTGGATGGGTCTGTTCCTAAACATTTTGGAACGTCCTGTTCCCTTAGAAGGCCAGCCTGAAGACCCTGAGCTTAGAAAATCATGGGGATGGTGGAAGAACAAGAAATGGGTTGCTCACATTTTAAACAGGCTGTACACTCGGTATGCAGGATCATGAAAACATATCTATTAACTTACAACCTATACCATTCTTTTTTCATTTGCCTTTAACTAAACTGTTTAAAAACCTGTAATAGGTTTGGAGATCTGAAACTTCAAAATCCAGAAAACAAAGCCTTCGCCCAAATGTTTCAGACGAACTACGCTGCCAAGATACTGGAGTGCCACTTGAAATTGTTGAATGTCATTCGTATCGGTGGATACCTTCCTGACAGAGTCATCAACCTAATTCTACAGTATCTAAGCAACAGGTCGGATATTCTCTGTGGCATGCATACTTTTGATAATCTTTAGAAATTTATTTGAATATGAGTAGTCTGGATCTATTAAATAACAAAATTACTGCACGTGAAGTCCCTGGGGGAGAACCTTTAGCTTTATCGTAGAGTTTTTAGTTAATATTATACTTTTACTGGTTTGAGAAATCTTCGGTGTTGGTAATTCCTACCTTTCTCACAGGTAGAAATATTTAATTGTGTTTAGACTGCGAACCCGGAATTTGATACCACTAAATTTTACCTTAGAAAGTTTGGGTGGTATTTCTAGTTGCAGTTTCTATTGTTTCCTTGACAACTGATAAAGGCTTTATCTGTATCTGGGTTCCTTGTCATGTTTGGGGTACCAGTTTTATTATTGACTTGTTGTCTCTCTGTGCAGTATCCCGAAGAATAGCATGTACGCCTTACTGCAACCCCACCTTGATGTTCTACTATTTGAGATCATTTTCCCTCTAATGTGCTTTAATGATGATGATCAAATGCTTTGGGATGAAGACCCGCATGAGTATGTGCGGAAGGGTTATGGTATGTCCCTGAAGTCTTCTTCGTTTTATTTAGATAATCCTAAAACAAGCTTTTTTATGATGGCATTACTTGCTCTACAGATATAATTGAGGATCTGTACAGTCCCAGGACAGCATCTATGGACTTTGTGACTGAGCTGGTCAGAAAGCGTGGAAAAGACAACTTCCCAAAATTTATACAGTTCATCGTGGGCATTTTTAAGAGGTACCCTCAAACTATATCGACAAATATACAATAGGAGCTAATTATATAAGTGCGACATGATATAATTACTTTGTTTCTGTTTTAGGTATGGTGAAGCACCTCTAGAACAAAAACCATATCGCCAAAAGGATGGTGCTCTGCTTGCTGTTGGGACACTCTGTGATAAACTGAGGCAAAATGAACCCTACAAGTCTGAGCTGGAGAATATGTTAGTGCAACATGTTTTTCCTGAATTCAGCAGCCCAGCTGGTCATCTTAGAGCAAAGGTTTTAGTGACTACTTTTGGTTGTTTTGGCCTCTTCTCATTCGTTTATGTTATGACAATCTCATTTGCTTGAATATGGTGCAAGCATGATCCATTCCTAGTCAGTGAATTTATCTGTTGTTTAAAGTTTTCTCCATCTCCTAATTTTTGGATTCCTCTAGTACTAAATACTGAAGTAGTTATACTCTGACGTTCTTGTTCATCAAGTTTCCTTGAAGGATGGCTTTTGTGGTATAGGACATGCCTTTTTAGATGTTGTTGTTTACTAGGTTTTGTAAGCCTTAACTTCTAATTTGCTGTTACACATTGGATTCTTTACATGGATGCCGTAACTTTGCCAAGCTTAATTCTCAACAAATTCTATCTTCTGTGTAGGCTGCGTGGGTTGCGGGGCAGTACGCCAACATTAATTTTTCAGACCAGACCAACTTTTCCAAGGCACTGCATTGTGTTATCTCTGGAATGCGTGATCCAGAACTTCCTGTTCGGGTGGACTCAGTTTTTGCTTTGCGTTCATTCATTGACGCCTGCAAAAGTAAGTATTGCACCACTCGCTCTGCTTAAGATTTCCGTCCGTTTTCCATCTTTGGGCGTTTTGTACATTGGATTAGTATAAGTTCAACTAAATTTTTCTGTCCTGCAGATTTAGATGAGATCCGTCCAGTTTTGCCTCAACTTCTTGACGGTACGCTTGTGGAATGATTTTTCTGATAGTTTTACGTCTATTTTATTTCGTTTAAAAGCTAAAACCTAGCATCATGTTAATCAACTGAAATAATCGGTATGGACTTGTGCTATGCAGAATTTTTCAAGCTAATGAATGAAGTTGAAAATGAAGATCTTGCATTTACTTTAGAGACTATCGTGTATAAGTTTGGAGAGGAGATTTCTCCTTATGCTTTGGGTTTGTGCCAGAACTTGGTAAGATATTATTCTGTCCTGTCCCCATTTTAAGTATTATTTTACTTGAAGCAGTAATAACCCTTTTCTTGTTAATAACTTCCAGGCCAGTGCATTTTGGAAGTGTGTCGACACTGACAACGGTGATGATGAAGCTGATGATACTGGTGCGTTGGCTGCAGTGGGATGTCTCCGTGCCATCAGTACAATTCTTGAATCTATCAGTAGTCTCCCTCATCTCTATGGTCAGATTGAACCATACTTGCTGCCAATAATGCGTAAAATGCTGACAACTGATGGTCAAGGTATGCAAAGTGTTTTCTAGATCCCATATATATTTGGAGTTTTTATCTTTTTCTTGTGTTCCTTTCATCTTTTGAATGAGTTACATTGAATGCATTGGGGTTTATGTAATCTGTAGATCTTAATCTAAACATGGTGATTTATTGACATATTTTGTATGTGTTACAGATGTGTTTGAAGAGGTTCTTGAGATCGTCTCATACATTACTACTTTTTCACCCACAATATCGTTGGACATGTGGAGTTTATGGCCTTTAATAATGGAAGCACTCGTAGATTGGGCTGTTGACTTCTTTCCAAGTATGAAACTTGCAGTTTTTTATGAAGTTTATTAATTCTCTTATTTTCTCCCTTTTGTTTGATGTTCTTGTGAATTTTATTAGATATATTGGTCCCTCTGCACAACTACATATCCAGGGGTACTGAGCATTATCTTACTTGCAAGCAACCAGATTACCAGCAAAGTCTTTGGAGTGTGATTTCTTCGGTTAGTCCACTATACTTTTACTCGTAAATAAATGAAACAATATATGTTCGTTAATTAATTTGTTAGTTTTTTACCATGACAGCTTATGGCGAACAAAAATATTGATGATAGTGACCTTAAGCCAGCTCCGAAGCTATTAGGGATCGTGCTTCAGACTTGTAAGGGCCATGTGGACCAATGTGTGGAGCCTTACTTGAGAATCACATTAGATCGGCTACGAGGTGCTGAGAAATCCTCCTTTAAATGTCTTCTGATTGAAGTGGTAAGCAGAGTAGTCCAGTTAAACTGTGCCAAATGCCAATTGCTGTTTTGATTAGATTCCTCTAAGCTGTAAGTTGTTTTATTTCCTGATTGGCAATAATCTCTGAATGTATTGCTCCGACAACCTTTGGGCAGGTTGCAAATGCCTTTTACTACAATGCCCCTTTGACACTTGGCATATTGCAACGCTTTGGTTTCGCAACTGATATTTTGACGATATGGCTTCACATGCTGCAAGAAAAGAAGAAGAGTGGTGCACATGCTAACTTCAAGGGGTGGGTGAATCTAATCTGTGTAACGTAACCTCTATTATCTTCTCTTAACAATTCTTTCAAGATAAACAATCTTCCTTGCTTCACATGCAGAGAACACGATAAGAAAGTTTGCATCTTGGGTTTGACATCAATTCTCAGTCTTCCGGCTGGTCAATTGCCCGGAGAAGTCTTGCCACCTGTATTCAGGGCTCTTCTTGAGCTTTTAGTGGCATACAAGGATCAACTTGCTGGTCAGTGCCTTTCACTGTCTTTGTTTTTTTCTTCTTAGGCCCTGTTCGTTTGTACATCTAAAAGATGCATCCAGATGATCCATCCAGATGCCTTATCCAGATGGAGCATCTGGATGTTGTTCGTTTCTCTATTTCGTTTATACATCTAGATGAATCATCTGAATGTAACTATGTTCGTTTGTTTGTTTTTAACTTGCATCTGCATCCAAATGATTTTTTTTTAATAAAATGAATAAAATAAATTTGTGTTTACATTTTTGGCGGGAATTTTACGATTTTGATGAAAAATGTGTTTTTCCAGTTTTGTTGGAAAAGTTAACGTTTACGATTTTGACACAAAAATATGTTTTTACAGTTTTAGCGGGAAAACATTTTTTCAAATTTGGCGGGAAAACGGGTTTTTACGGTTTTTGCGGAAAAATGCGTTTTTGCGGTTTTTGCGGGAAAATACGTTTTTATGGTTTTGACGGGAAAACGTGTTTTTGCGGTTTTTGCGGGAAAATGCGTTTTTGCGGTTTTGGCGGAAAAATACGTTTTTATGGTTTTGACGGGAAAACGTGTTTTTGCGGTTTTTACGGGAAAATACGTTTTTATGGTTTTGACGGGAAAACGTGTTTTTGCGGTTTTTGCGGGAAAATGCGTTTTTGCGGTTTTGGCGGAAAAATACGTTTTTATGGTTTTGACGGGAAAACTTGTTTTTGCGGTTTTTGCGGTTTTTGCGGGAAAATACGTTTTTATGGTTTTGACGAGAAAACGTGTTTTTGCGGTTTTTGCGGGAAAATGCGTTTTTGCGATTTTGGCGGAAAAATACGTTTTTATAGTTTTGACGGGAAAACGTGTTTTTGCGGTTTTTGCGGGAAAATACGTTTTTATGGTTTTGACGGGAAAACATGTTTTTGCGGGAAAATGCGTTTTTGCGGTTTTGGCGGAAAAATACGTTTTTATGGTTTTGACGGGAAAACGTGTTTTTGCGGGAAAATGCGTTTTTGTGGTTTTGACGGGAAAATACGTTTTTATGGTTTTGACGGGAAAACGTGTTTTTGCGGTTTTTGCGGGAAAACGGGTTTTTTGCGGTTTTGGCGGGAAAATGCTTTTTACGGTTTTGGTAGAAAATGCGTTTTGCGGTTTTGGCGGGAAATGCGTTTTTATAGTTTTAGCGGGAATATGTATTTTTGCGGTTTAGCGGGAATATGTATTTTTGCGGTTTTGGCGGGAATATGTATTTTGTGGTTTTGGCGGGAAAGTTTATTTTTGCAATTTTGGTGGAAAATACATTTTTCAGTTTTTATGGTTTTGGCGAAAAAATCATTTTTTGGTTTTAACGGAAAAATATAATTGCAAAAAAGATTTAGTATTTTTGGTTTGAAAAATTATATTTATTTTAAAAGGTTATTTTTGTCATTTATTATTTTGGACTGAACTAGATGCATCTGCATCCAGATGCGTCATCAAGACTCACCCTCATCTGGGTGAGAATTTGAGATGAGTTTTAAGAAATTCAGTTGGGTGATCCATCTGGATGTAGCATTTTAATGTACAAAACGAACATTGATTTGCATCTTCACCCAGATGGATCACTTGGGTGAGCAAACGAACAGCACCTTATAATAATAGAACTTCACTGATATTCCTCTTTGAACATGTATAACAGAAGCTGCAAAGGCAGAAGAGGAAGAAGAGGACGAAGATGGTGATGACGACAACATGGATGACTTTGAGACAGATGATGAGGATGATGAGGAGAATCCTGATGAAACTGATGAGAGTAAACTCCGCAAGTTAGCAGCACAGGTTTGTCTTCTTAACCCCCTAAAATTAAAGTGATTTTTTTCTTGAAGAAGGTATCACTGTGCTTGTAAGTAGTGTGGCTCACTTTCGTCGCTTCCTATTGTGCGTTAGGCAAAGGACTTCCGCTCTTACAGCGATGATGATGAGTTTTCGGACGATGATTATAGTGATGATGAGGAATTAGACTCTCCCATTGATGAAGTGGATCCTTTCATACTCTTCATGGATGCAGTCACAGGTACAAGAGATTTGTCATGCGTCTATATATCGATTTGTGTGTGGTATTATCATTTACCTGATTTCTTTTCTATCTTCTTAATAGCAATGCAAGCAACAGACTCGCTCAGGTTCCAAAGCCTTAGGCAGACACTAGACCCACACTACGAAGGGCTGGCAAACAATATAGCTCAGCACACGGAACAGAGAAGAGCTGAGATTCTTAAGGAGCAACTTGAGAAGCAGCAATCTTCTACAACAGTTGCTTCCTGATTTCAGATGGCTGCATTATTTTTTTGCTTGTAAGCCTTTTAATCCAAAAAGGAAGTAGACAGGCTTATCTTAGGTGAGTCTTTGGTCGACTCATCATGTCTCAGAGATATCAGTCTCTGCCATCTCCAGTTTTGCATTTTTTTTTTTTTTTTGGTTTTTATCATCCAATAAGACCAAAACAAAAGAACATTCTTTTTTCCTTTTCAGACAACAGATTAACCCCCTTTGGAGGGGTGTTTTATGTTCTCCGATTGGGATTGGAGGGCATATATTTATAAAACTATGGGATTTTATGTTAGTTTAATTATAATCATTTATGTTTGTGGCAGTTGCTTATCTCGATTTAACTCGTTAGTTAGAGCCTGTGTTCGTTCTCAGCCATCGCCAGCTAAGCTGTAGTTAAATATTTTCGATTGTAATAAACGGTCAATAATTTGTCCACCTGTCTCACAGTAACTATAAACTCAATTATTTATAGGACTAGAAATATAAACATATAAATATTAGGTTATGCTAGATAACCCCTACAGTTGTCTTAAGAAAGCTTGATAACTTGAAATAACCTGGAATTTTTGTTTGGTTCGGTCAATTCATCTATTTGGATATTTATGAAATTATGTTCGGTTTAGTTTTTTAGGTTTGATATGGTTTGGTTCCTTGATTCAAGGTAATTGTGCCCAGGTCTATCTATCTTGAATATTTGCATAAAACAGTTTCCTTGTATGCCAAGGGGCTTCGGGCAAATGGATGCTGTAAACTCTGGTTGCATTATAAGTCGACTCGAGTTCCATACAACCACAGTGAGGTTTTTATATTGGCCCAGAGGACCCGATGAAAGAAATAAAGGTATATAGAAATTAGAAAAACATCTAAAAAGATTCATTCTTTGATATGTCACAGGACAATGTGTGCCCTACAACGTTATCGGATTCATTTTTGAAAATTTTGGTGTTATTGTCGACTTTTCCATTAGAGTGAATGAAAAATTATTAATGCTCGAAGTCAAAAATCAGTTATATCAGTACTATCGACTATGATTTCCTTAATTCATTTTCCTAATGATATTATTCTACTACTATTAGTTTTCTCATCAACTTGCTATGATTGGGTTAGGTGCATTGAATTCAGTGTTCGTGAAAACGATGGTAATTGAAGGCAGATAAACGATGGAAATTTCAAATATATGCCGTAACTAAACCATTAGACAAATATGATGAAGTTTTTTTTTTCCTAAGATGATTAACTAAAAAATTATCATCATTTGGCTAGTTTGAACTTCGTTCATATGTTGTTGTAATAAACGATCAGTCACTCTTTGAAATTAGTCGGAAGACATTCTAAATTCCACTTAAACAATGGTAGCCAATCCATTATATTAGGTAGCAGTGCGTTCTTCCCGAAACTAATCGAATCAGTCGGGTATATATATAAAAAAAAAGATCAAGTTACAAATGTAACTTGTTTAAAGTTATTATGTGGTACTGTACATGATAGTTTTACTCTTCTTAAGTAATGTAAATTTATCAATTGTTAACAAAATTGTATTTACATAATTTTACTAGAACTTTAATTTCACAATCGTAAGAATATAGATCAAGAAGAAGTTGATGGCTAAAACAAGAATCGATGGATGTTAAAAATGCTATATTTTCGATCATTTTCGACACGATATCATGAAATTTATACTAGCGTAATACAAACATGAAACACCACTTCCCATTCGAGTGAAGAAGTATATATTGCAAAAAGAATAGCTTTCTAGAAGGTGAATCCAACACACATACTATACGTTGTTACTTGTTAGTATGAGTGTCTTTTCTTTTATGATTTACCAATAACTAGAAATTTTAAGTTTTAATTATTTCTTTTTCCTTTATTAGTCTTGAAATATCTATAACATTATGGACTAACGACTTTTCATTCTTATCAACAAATTATAACACAAGCGTTAGGTGCCAATGACACTTCTAAGACCTTCATTTTCGTGCCTTTCTGTGAACGAATCAAATCAATCTATTTCAATCCTTGGGTCCAATTCATTAGCCTCCATTAGTTTTGTAAAGCTTTTTTCTAATTTTAATTATCTGATAACCAAGCTTCAACTTTACAAAGAAGATAATTGGAAGGTAGCCGACAGAGCCTGTCATTATATATATTACGACGCTAATTGAATAGGAATACAACCAGTTACGTGAAAAAGAGTTGTATCATTTGCAGCTTACCTCAATTGGTTTAGATAAAATTTGATTAGATTAATTAAGATTCGAGTGTAAATATGATAATATATTTGAGTTGAGGTGTAATGATTTTCTTCTTTTTTCCAACAAAAACACTTCTTTTGTATTAATCAAACATGATTTCTATAGAAGCAACTAATTAGCTAAACACTATGAAACCTAATTGTTCATAACAAACAAATTATTAAATTTTATTCCGACCGTTCCAAGTTAGGGATTTTTCTCTAACATTCATACTTCGACTTTATAAGGAGATCAAACTCAAGTTATATAGTCTTTCGTGTACTGAATATATGTAACTTTGAATCAAAGGCTGTCCAATGCTCAAGGTGTGAAATCATATATACAGCAAAATCAATTGACTGTGTGACGAAATATGAGCAACATGCACTGATTATGGATGCCTACAAGCTGAAATTTGGAGAATACCGTTTGTTGTTCGCTTTCACGTTTTCGTTGAACCAATAACATAAGGTTTTGCAATTCGCTATTATTTATAACACATTTACTTCGTTAATATTCTCTGCAAAAAAAAAAACATCACTGATATGTTGGAACATAAACTGAATAGGCAAAATGAGGCTACGCAAATTTAAGTGAAGAACTAACAATCCTCGCCTTGATCCCTGAAGACCCAGTCCTAAATTTCTGGAGTCCAAGACTCCAAGGTATACTGGTTTATTTCTATTATTATTAGTATTAGTTTTACTATATATTAATAATCTAAAACCACTGGATCAATTAATTTATAATTATACTAGTAACGTATAAAAGTGATATCTCCTATATGTATATAGTTCAATGGTTGTTAATTTAATAAGGGTAAGGATTAAGTTGTGATGACATTCCATCAAAATACTGTTAGACTATCCCTTTCGTTATTTGTTGCATTTTTGGCGAAAGGCTTATGGATAATAAGGCGTTGATTGATTCGTTGCTGAAATTGTATCGGAAAATTCTTCTGATGGCTAAATATGTACATTACCTTGTTTACCGTATTAAATAGTGCATAGTCTATAATAATAGATCATAGAACTACATGTTTATTTATTGACTGAGATTATATTTACTTACGAAATCCTCATATTGTATAATTAAGTCTTAATGAGAAACGATTTATGTTGAATACCAATGCCGACAAAATAACAATATCAGTGGGATTAACTCTTCAAATCAAATTCATGCATGTGAAGATGACTTTATTCATATATACTAAATGTTGGGAATAAAATTAATGGCTGAATGGTTATGTGTGTTTTATAATTGTTGACTTAGAAATGATGAAGATTGGTTTGGAGGAGGTGAAGTCAATAAGTAGCTCCAAAATCAGTCAATTCCTAGGCTCAGTCTTCGGTTTACAACCATCATCTTTACATTGGGTCCAATTTAAGTTGTTTAAATGTAACGCTCTCAATAATCTAAACTGCAATATATGTTTTGTTATGAAGAAGTTAATATTGATTTGGTAAGTCAAACCAATTTAGGAGTATTTGAAAAAATGGAAAACGAATGCCTCAGTTTTTACACATGAGCGATGACTCATGGATACCAAGTGTATGCAGCAGTACAACTTGATCCTAGGGTTTGTGTTTCTTCGTGGGTTTATTAAAGTCCTAGCGTTTGTCTTTTGATCGGATCGATCTTCCAGAACTATATTGAGATTAATCTTGGAATGAATAGGCTAAAGTTATATCACGCAGAAAACGATCACTGCTGTGATCAATATGTATAAGAGAAAAAGTGATTTGAATTAAAAAAATCAATGATAATACGTAGAGCATCGATGTGTTTAGTCTTTAGTGGCATGCATGTTTTTTCCAGCTCAGATCTCAACTCAGAGACAAAGACATCTTCATTGCCCAAGTTGGAGACTCCTCTTGTCTCGCTAATCATCTTCATGTATATATATATATATATATATATATATATATATATATATATATATATATATATATATATAATTTGTATTTACGTCTTTGTCTATATTTCTGTTAAAATGAATGGAATATCTTTCTTTGTTTATAAAAATATATATGTAATTTGTATTTACGTATTTGTCTGTATTTCTGTTAAATTGAATGGAATCTTTGTTTAAAAATATATATATATATATTCTTTTTCTTTGTTCTTTAACGTAAGATAAAAAGAAAATTTATCTTCTAGTATTTGGTAGTACTGACAATTCAAGGAAGACCGTGATGCTAGGCTACCTTTGCTAACCGACCCACTATGTCCGGTCCATTTTGCGTTAATTAATTATTTTGGAATTTACTCTAGTGTACTTTTTATAGTTCTGTGACTTCTGGCTACGTGCAAACTATTATAGTACTTTTATGTTTGTGTCCATATTTGTTTTCTAAATTAACTGTTTTGTTCTTCTGAAAAGAAAACCCAAAAGTAAGCACTTTAGACATAACCCAAAGACACTATTAGACTTCAAGCATTTCTGAAAATCGTCAATTCAATATAACAGGCAATCAGCCTATGTAAGTAACTCTTCTCAATTATTCAACGCTTACTGAAACTTAGGTAAAGATATTATAGCTTTTATAGATTCTCTATTAAACTGTCTGCCATCGGAAATATGAAATTAAACAAAAAATGAAGATCTCATTAAGAAATTAACAATGGTACCTCCACGAGTTTTCTTAGTACTATTCCATCTCCTGTTTATCTATTGTCATAAAAAAAAGTTCACACAGTTACAATCCAAATAACTACATTATAAACCTTATGTATTGGGTTATATATTTGATACGAATTCTAAACTAATCATGTTACTTTTAGTCATTCTTAAATTCTGAAATAACAAATATATAGCTGAAATATTTGTTTCGCTAAATGAAGACGACAAGTACGTACTTCTCTTTCAATAGCTGAAATTTAGTTGCGGCATTCAATTGTTCCCGGCAGGTCCAAGTTAGTGAATAGCAGTGACGTCTGCGAATGACGTGTGTAGTACCATTAAATATTTTCTTAAATATTCTAAGAGCTTCGAGAAAATAATACCCATCTCATTAATTCTGAATTAATTTTCCATGTGCGCTAGCCGTTAGGTGGAATGACTTATCCATGCAGATATCATGCAATA